GAAGAACACGACATTCTTACAGAACAACAAAAAGGTTGCCGTAGAAATCACAGGGGATGCAAAGAACAGTTACTCATAGATTCAGTCATTCTACGGCAAGCACACAAACAACACAGAAATATACGTATGGTATATATAGACTACAGAAAAGCATTTGACAGTGTTCCACACAGTTGGTTGCTACATATTCTACACATGTACAAAATACATCCCTCACTCATTGCATTCTACGAAAACACTATGCAGCACTGGAGAACGTCACTGCATCTCAGGGTTAGTAACACTTCCATACAAACAAATGAGATATTCATTAGGTGAGGAATTTTTCAAGCAGATTCCTTGAGTCCACTCTGGTTCTGCTTAGCCCTGAACCCATTATCCAACATGTTAAACAACATGCATTATGGCTACAATATCAGACATGAAAAAACAACACAGTTTACACTCTCACATCTCATGTACATGGACGACATAAAACTTTATGCATCCACACAAAAACAACTTCATCAACTCCTACAAATCACACATTCATACACTAAGGACATGCAAATGGAGTTTGGCCTAGACAAATGCAAAAATCTTCACATAGAAAAAGGAATCCTGAAGAAAGAAGATTTTGCACTTGGAAATGGAGACGTNTTTATACTTTTATTTATAATACACCAGAAATGAAATATTTTGAAATTAAACAAATAATAAATTAAATAAATAAGCAAATATACTTAAATGAGTACAACATTTTCCTCAAACAAGTTTATATTTAGATAATACAAAGAAACATTTAAATCTCGTAGAGCCTAGAACAGCGATATTCAAGCAGTTTCACCAAATTTGAATTTTTAGTACTTGTCAAGAAGGTCTAGGGTAGCCATATTTCTATGACTGGATTAAAGGACATTTAAAAATGATTAATGCTATCACTCTCCAACTTTAACTCCATCCATCCCACCCAAAAACAAAATTGAAAAACTTTTTAGTTAATAACCAAACATTCTGTTCATAATTTTTTGGATTTTTATCTAATAATTATAGTTTTCATATTGATGATTAATATTTGTAAATTTTAATTTAAAATTTAAAACATTTACTGATAGTATTACTATTTAAAAAACTCCACCATACCTTTAAAATGCAGTCTATTTTACATCTATCAAACGTTTTCGTTCAGATTCACAGACCTTCTTCAGGATCGAACTATCAGATTTTAAATTTGCAAAACGGAAATTCCAAACTGCACGTTCTATAATCTTCTCAATTGCGCATGCTCATTATTATAATTTAAACGTTGCCGCTTTCCATGCCGATGCTATTTTGTTTGATTCACNATCGAACTATCAGATTTTAAATTTGCAAAACGGAAATTCCAAACTGCACGTTCTATAATCTTCTCAATTGCGCATGCTCATTATTATAATTTAAATGTTGCCGCTTTATTTAAACGTTATTTAGTGTTCATGATTATTGTACATTACCTAAAAGTGGAAAAATTAAATTTGGTTTAAACCATCTTATATCACATTTAGGGAATTCGATCCCGGTCCTTATTTCTAATCCCGGGATTTCAGGATTATACTTATTCGATCCCGGGATTATTTCGGTATTGAGGGTTAATAAAAAATAAGAAAATCTTACAGAAATTAAAAATCAAAATTTAGACAAAAATCAACGTATTTTACGGTATACACCTAGTTAATTTAATCACTCTAATTAATCAGACTTACAGTCAGACTAACCAGACTTAAAATCACTGTCTTCATGTTAAATTTATTCTTTTTTAAGCATCACTGAGATCTCTTTAAACTCACATAAATTGAAAAAACTTTTATGTAACAAACTATGCAAATAAACGTTGAAAATTCACAAAAATCTCTCTTAACATCGACTAAATAGACTACTTTCATATAACAACCTAGTAAGTAGGTAGTAAAGTAAGTTTCTTAGCAAAAAGTATTTAAAAATAATATTAATCAGTCACATTTTTCTTAAATATAAAGAAAACTAATCTAATAGGAACATTCTAATTTGAATTGCGAAAATATGATCTGAGAAATAACAACGCATCCAGTGTCTCATCACCAAGTCTGCTTCTCAATTTGTTGCACATATATGCAGCTGCTGAGAAAACGCGTTTAGGTTTGATGGAAGTTGGAGGAATCGTTAGTAAATACTTATAAGCTTCGAGGACACGGGGAGGATGGAAGAAAACAGTCCGGTCGACACGGATCGGGATTGTAGGAGTAAAGGCTACAATCCCGATTGTTTCGATCATTGTAAGCATGTCTTTCTAAAAATAAACGCGTTAATTTTGTAAATTCGGTCTCTGTGTGAGTCTCTCAGCGTCCAGCAAACCACTACCCCGAAACGTAAAAAGACTTTCTCGCATCATCCTGACAGATCGCGGGCAAGGCGAGGGTCGTAACCTTTTCACCTAAGGTCGACCCCCCTAAGCGAGAGGCGTCGGGTCTATATTAACTACACTGGCAAAACAAGATGGCTGACACATTGACAGGTAAAACGCACTGAGTAGTGCTCTCGACTGCGCCAGAAAATCGATTGGCGCCCGCGAAAATTCAAAAATACAAAAATGAAGTATATTACCAAGTAACCCAGTGAGAACTGCTTGCCTATCATTTTAGTTGAAAATACAAGAAGTTTTATTCCAAGCAAGCATCGCAAGCCCGCTAGGTTAATTTCTGCTGCTTGCTTGGAATAAAATTTCTTGTATTTTATATTAAAATGATAGGCAAGCAATTCTGTTAAAAGCACTGGCACTGAACGTTTCGCTTCATGCAGTCTATTTTGCAATTTTTTTAAAATGATGTCAATCCCGAAAATCCCGGGATTAGGAAAACTTAATCCCGAAAATTTTGGGACTGAAAAGTGGTCGGGATCTCGGGATCCCGATTTTCGAGATCCCGGGATCAAATCCTCTAATCACATTACACAATTCCTTATTTTTTAAAGCTGTTTCCATCAAGTCATCTTTTAAACTTCACTCTTTTGCAGCCGTAGTTTCATTTTGCATCTAAGATGTGACATATCAACATTTAAGACATAAATAATAATTATGTAATACAGATGCTATTTATATTAAGTTTTTAATTAATTTGATTTTGATTGTTGTTTATATTTAAAACACTGGTTATTTTAATTGAAATCTACTATAGAAAAATTCTTGCAATAAATATGAAGATAAAAAAATTATCATGAATTTTTAGCATTCAACAGAATAAAGTTAACTCTCTTTTGTTAAATGTTACAAATTTATTAATAGTCCATCAATATAATGGGCATTGTCTGTATGAATAACAAAAAGTGTTCCTGTGAGTATCAACTTTTTGCACACATCAATAGGTTGATAGAAGATGGCGATGTGGTGATATAAATTCAAGTAGTAAAACGACTGAAGAAATATTTTTGAATTTCTAGAGCAGGGATGTCCAGCCCATGGCCACACTATGGCCCACTTAATATATTTATGCAGCCCACTACATCCTAAATTGTTTAGGTATGTTTTCATTTATTTTGGTAAAATATATTGTAAAACTTATTCTTATTTCACTGGATACACTTTGATGTCATAATGACATAATTGGTGTTATAAAACTGTTTTATGTAGAGAACTGTTATGCATGTGGGACAGTACATACTGTTGTGAACAATTCTTTTTATGCATGAAAAACATCAAAACTACTGAAAGAAATAGGTTGAGTAATTCCAGTTTAACTAACATTCTTAGAATTAAACTAGTATCATAAAAGCAGATATTGACAATATTATAAAAGGAAGGCAATGTCAAATATCACATTGAATTTATTTTTATTTTGTGTGAGTATAATTTCTTTTTTTTACTGTCAATAATACAGTATTTTTTGTAATGATATATATTTGTTATTAAAATTTGATATTCACATTTTGAACTTTTTAATAGCATATATTTATATGAAGTATCTTTGTGGCCTGCTAAATATACCTAAATTTCTAATTTGGCCCGTTAGGAAAAAAGGTTGGACAACCCTGTTCTAGAGAAATCATTGCTATTGAGGTTATTATTGAACTTAATCTTGAACATGCAGCTGAATGCTAAGGATACATTCGTAAAGTGAAAGAAGTTAAGTGAATGTTTACCTACTGATTCTAAAGTACCAGTAAAATAACAATGATATATACTACAGTACAACTATAATTTAACTACATATAATATATAAAATGCCATTACAATAGAGGATGCAGCTGTTCTATATTTCTGATAGGTGATATGATTCCTGTCATGACGAGATTCAACTACTGCTGTCAGATATCATTAAAAATCACAAAAAAATTAATTTCTTCCTCAAAGTACTTAAGTTATTTTTATTGGTTTTGAAATTCTTTCATAGTACTATATTCATAAGATTAAATTAAAATTTATAACAAAAATTTAAGGCTTTCATAAATTTTTTTGATATAAGTTATTTAATGTAGTTGAAAAGCGACAATCTACACAAGATGATGACGAAGATATTCCCGATAGTCCTAGTCACGAATTTGTAAGTGATGCTTATCAAGGCGGTGAAATTTCAGCCGAAGATTTACAACAAGAAATGAAACAGTTAGGTGTATCGGGAGGAAAAGCTGTTCAAGGTACAGTTAGTTTTTTATTGAAATTTTCTAAGAAAATTAGTACAGAATAATTAATAAATTAGAAGTTATACAAAACATAATATTTTGAAATATTTATCATAAATTAATTTTAATAAAAGGAATAGATTTTGTGTTAGACTAAGTATATCATTAAACACTATTTTTTAATTGATGATAAATTCCATTCATAAATGCAATATTATAAGGTAATTTTGAATATATTTTTTTTTTAATTATAAATTTGTTTAGAAATTTATTCCTTTCTTTTCAAATTTTTTTACATTTTAAATTTCTATTATATTGTATTTGATAATGAGATTTTTCAGTATTTTTCTCAAAATAGCAGTTTTTAGTTTAAGTTTATGCATATGTTTTAATATAAGTTATTAAATATTCATTTAAAAACTTAGCATTAAGTAACAAAATGTCTCGTAGTGAATAAAAAGTTATATAGGCAACCATTTTTTACTAACAAAACAAAAACTTTTCTGAACTTAATAATTTTAATATGAGCAGAATGTTTACAGAGATAATTAAATAAGTTTGACAAAGTTCTGCAAAGAAAATTATTACTTTATTTTTATATTGTTTATTTACTACTATTTTTTTTTCTATTCTTTATAGTGATTATTAAAATTTATATATACAGTGGTGCCTCGTACAACGTACTTAATCCGTTCCAGGTGCACGTCCGTTAAGTGAAACGTCCGTTATTCGAAACGCATTTTCCTATAGAAATACATGTTAAAACATAATTCGTTCTGCAGCATAAAATAACCGTACTGTACCATAAAAAATGAAAATGGAGCAGACACCAATTATGCCGGGTAGTCAGATGTGAGGAGGAGGTGGAAGAACACTTTCTTTACACATTCATACAGATACGTACTTTTTACATATTGCAACGGGTCTTTTTTTTATTGTTTTTTAATCAGAGTCAGATTCAGGAGAGGCTACCGGAACTTGCGGGGTCAACTTCTCTTGTTCCATCCTTTGTTTTTTGCCCGCTGGCTTCTTGAAAAACATGACCAAGGTGGTCTGTTTCTCTTTCTTCTTTAACACCTGTCGGAAATGACGGACAAAGGTGTCATCGTAGAGATCATTGATCCTGTTGGCCTCAGCTCTGTTTGGATA